TATGACCCCCCCTTCCCCATATACGGCGCGCCCTAACAGTATGATAGTTTTTTACAGGCAATTTGACCTGGTGGCAATTTTTCCAACTATTTTTCAAGTTTAAGTGTAATGTTGGATCTTGACGAGTTTTGATATTTCAGGCTCGTCATACCCTTACCTTTCCTTTAAATGGTGACATCACCGTTTTATCAAACCTACTAGGTGACTTAGTGGGGTTTCGATCCTTTTTTCCGCCCGCTTGATGTTGAATGAGAGAGGAATTGTGGTGCTGTCCTCGTTGGGATGTTGCGCTGCGCCACTGGTATACTCCACACCTTGAAGAAGGGAAGGGCGTGGCTGCGTACTCATTTTAACATGGCGTAGTGTGCGTTTTATGTGAGATATTTCCACTGGAAACAACTTTGAGCACTGCACAACTACATAAGTACAACTCGCCTGAAATGACAATATCCCATTAAAAGTGCAGTAGCTGCCACATCCAAATGAGCAACGCAGCCACGCCTCCCCTTTTCCGGGAGGTATGAGATTAGATTGGCTCGGATAAGTGACTAGCTTTCTTTCATTGGACGCAATATGTAATTTATTGTAGTCGGCACTCGCAAAAAATGCACGTTATATTTCTTCTGTGGGTACCGAAGGTCGTTTGCTCAGCAAGCAACCACGTGAATAAATATGTAGTAGCTTGTGGCAAAAGTGGAATATCTTGCGTGAAATTTGAGTTGAACTCGTTTCAGGGGTGCAGAAGCCAAGGAGAAGATCGACGCCGATTATGGTGGGATCACAGGTTTATGTGAACGGCTAAAAACTGATCCGAACAATGGTATCCCAAATACGACCACTGAGTTGGAACGACGACGGGCAGTGTTTGGCGCCAACGAAATTCCACCTCATCCGCCCAAATGTTTTCTACAATTGGTGTGGGAAGCATTGCAGGTTCGTCATTTTTCCGTTGTGTATTGATTGGATAGAAAAAAACATAGGTCATTTTTTTATAAAATTTGGGCATTGTATGGTAGGAAGTGTTTGTGGAGCTTAGGGGGAGTTAGCAATGTCCATAGAATCAGTGCAGCTCCGAAGTGTTTGTCGAGAGAATTTTGATGTGTTGTTGATTTAAAAAGTCCCCGTCGCGTCGATAAAGTAAAAAGGTTATGTTTGAAGATAAAGCGTGAGCGACAGTGTGTAGATCGAGGGGCTAAAAAATGCTTCTAGTGGGGGCAGAAAAATGGGATAGCATTTCCAACAGAGCATTGGGAAAAGACTCCTTCACGGAAAAAGTTTATTATTTGAAACCGTCCTTCAAACCCGCTCAAAATGCTTCAAGTTCTGATTGGGAAGGAGTAAGCTTTCGGCATAGAGTAATCCATTTTGGGATGTGCCACGCGTTCTTCTTCCATCAGGAATCATCAAGGTGCTCTTAGGGCGATTTGGCGTCTAGAATGACTTGCGGGGCTAGCCGATGTGTGAGTCGGAGCACGTCTCGCATTGGGGAATATTGCAAACTGCAAATCCCCCCTCCAAAAAAAAAGTTTGTGTCTGGCTCGTACCGAGTGTGTGTGCTTTCGTCCAGAGACAGCATCCGTTCGTGTGAACAATATCGGGGGGGGTCATGACTTCGCCGCTGGAGGGAGTGGTCGTTAGTCGCTGGGAGACGGGGAAGTTATATGTGCCTTTAAGAGAAATTTGCTGCACTGGGAAGAATTTTTCCTGCTTGTTGACGTTTCGCGCAGTTTTCCTCTATATACTAATAATATGGCAGGCCCCCCTCCTTTTGAGATGGAGAATTTCCGGGAAATTTTGGAAGAGCGGAAAATTTTTGCGCGAAAAACTGGTATATGTGGGAAATTGGTAGATAGGTGTTGGGGAGATGGGTCGTACCGAGACCCCCATTCAAGTGTGGGGGGGTCGTACTCACACCTCCTCTCGGAGGGGAGGGGTCGTACCTACACCACCATTTCACACATCACGACGCTGTACCTGCTTTCGTCTCCCCTCTCTTCATCCCCTACCGTACACACAGTGTCGCTAGATTTTCCAAACTTCCTCTTACTCTCCAGCTACCATGTTCGACCCACCCGTCCTCGGTGTGGATCCCTAGTGTACAACGTGCCGTTGAAGTCAGTGTTCCGATAGTACCAGACAAGTGGGGGTACAATTTAACCGATCCCTCAGTTAAAGGAGACTTCACTGGCCTTGAATGCCGATCCGAGACTAGACCCACGTAACGTTTGCACGAAAAATGGTTCCATTTGCCGCTACAGCAGACATTTGCAGTTTTTCGAATACATACGAAGTAATTTTGATTTCGATCGATCGCTGTTTGGCTGCAAGTGTGGTAGTTACGGGCGCGTGAGGTAGATCTCGGATCTCCCTCTTCCACCCCTAGCCGGTATGCTGGTACCAGACCTGTCCATATGGATAAAAACTCGTGATACTGGGAATTCAGCTGGGCTCGTGAGTCATTGTGTAGGTCGAATTGCATTCAATGTGACACTACGATCCTGCATGGAGGTAGAACGATCCGTCGAACTTCGGACGAGGGATTGATCGCGCCGATCGGATTCTTTCTTTGGCTCCTATTTTTTGAATTTAGCTTGTTTCCTTCTGTTTATGTGAAAACCGTCTTGGCGATGGTTAGTTGATGAATAGAAAAGTCCTTGAAGATTCTCGGCAAACTTCTCTATCTTTAATTTTGCTTTCACTAGTTTTTTTTTCTCAGGAGGTTGCTGATTGTCTACTGAAATTCTTGACTCAGCTGATAGATAGGCTTCTTCTTCCTACCTATTCCGGACAAATGTTTCGGAATGTAAGAAAAGAAAGGAGTTCGGCGACGGGGGCTCTTTGCACTTCTGCTGCTTTCCATTGTCGTGTCGAGCCATCAAGGAGAGATTTGTGAAAGATGGTGAAAACATGAAGTGATACCAGCTGAAGTTTGTAGAAATTACTTGCCAGTTCTTGTAAAATATACCTGCCAACTCTTTTAAAGTCTGAACATGACAAAGGGAAGCAGCAAAAATGCAAAATGCCCCTCCCCCCCATCGTCGAACAGCGCCAAGAAAAGTTCGTATGATTGGACTTAATATGTGTGATTTTCCATAGAATTTATTTTCAAGTGATTCACTTTCATGGCTAAAACCTCTGGAATGAGATAAAACCCTACTCTCACCAACACATGGTTACCGTTTCCACTGAGCCTCGGTTCTCACACATATGCATCCACTTTGTTTTCCGAGCGAACACATGTAGATTATCCCTGGTTTACGTTCATGAGTCGTATGCATAGATTTTTGCATGAAATATTGAGTGTCCCGGGTAGAGGCGCACACAACCGTTGAGCCTATTGAGCTAAATTGAAGTCGTATGGGAGGAGGGGTGAGCTGTTACAAATTGAAACCGCGTGGGTGAGTCTAATCCTAAAAATGTAAGAACTAGATAAATTTCCTTTTTCGTGGGGATCGAAGAAGGCGTTCCCTTTTATTAGGAAGTTCGTTAATAGAACTCTTCATGTGCATAATTTCTTGTGCAAAATTGGTGACTTGAAGTCGGCGCATTGAGCGCTCTACCCACGCAATACATTCCCTGAGGGCCGCTTTGTTGAGCGCACGGATAGGAGGCGGAGGAGAAGAAAGAGGAGGAAGCAGGCGAGAGTGGTGTGCATGCGAGTAACTCACTGCTTCGGAACCACAAAGTCGGCGGAAATAAGTTCTCGAAAGGGGTCTAGGCCGAGCGCAAGAGGAATTTTTTCCAGTTCACCCCCCGCTGCGACGGCGCTTTTGGTTAGCAGTTGTGTAACCTTTTTTGGCCAAATAGTATCCCAGTAGAACGGTGCCATGCGAGCTTTAATTCTGCAAACCAGCGGAATACCTTAAGCCTTTACAGCCCCAGGACTAATCGTTTGGGAAGTTTTTTCCCCGCAAGTACGTGCAGCTATTGGCTTCCGTTGCTGCAATCAGGCAGTCTAATCAAAGTTAATATTCTCAGGTCGAGACTTTCACTCCTCTCAGGGAGTTGCTATGGAGAATATGTAGCGTGAGCTGTATGATGTCTAACAACCGAGCAAACGAAAGGGCAGCTAGAAGGATGTAGACGTGCTGAAGTCCATTTTGCACATTTGGGAGGGTTTTCGACATATAACTCTATTTCAACCGTTCATTCTGAGTGGATTTTGTGGAGACCTTTTTTGTGGGAGCTCCGCTGAGGCACGCGTATCGAATGGCTCTTGTTGGCAGCCTCAGTTGGCGCATAGGCATGCTGAACAGCGTTTTGGCGATGAATGATCAATGGGAGCTTGCAGACAGAGAGCCACCATCAAAAAACGGGAAGCTCCCCGCGGAAAAAGCGGGAAGCTTCTGTGATCCACTTGTCCTGGTGCAACTTCCATCGTGGAATTTTGTGAGAGAGTTCGGTATCACTTTCAGGTCCTACACATGTTCCCTTGCACAACATATTTCACATATATCTACGGACTTCTCTGGCAGTGCTTTCGCATGGAATCGGGGCAGTTTCTCAGAATAGGCTTCTCAGTGGCAGTGACGATACCAACGCCTGCTGGTGTGACAATGAGACTCCAGCCAGATTTCATTACCTTTCCCCTGGAAGGTATCAGATTACTCTGACTGCCTAGCCATCAGTAAGGTGGTTAACCTTACGCGGGTACCAATTGATTTTTCCTTGTTTTCTGCCTTGTTCAGTGCTTCCGAAGAAACGTGATCATATCGGCGGGTAATAGTTGGACTGCATTTTCAGTGTCGATCTCTTCCTTGATGCTGACAAGAAAACGCTTATCACGGGTGCTTAGGTAAATCCCGGAGGGGGTCTTGCCCAGGCCAGCCAAACCTTTTATCCTCCGGGGCGGTGAACTGGTACCAACTTCGCCTGGGTGGATAAAACACTGGATTATAAATAGGCTGGCTCTCCGCAAGTAATTGTATGGGCCACATCGCATTCAGTGAGCCACCACGGTTTTGAATGGGAGTAGGATGCTTACAGGAGCCCAAAAAAGGACTGATCAATGGCAGACTTTGTCCTTTATACCTTTTTCCTAGTTTGAGGTCGACAGTCGACTTGAACGACACCAGAATTGACATTCCCGACTTGTGGGCGAAGGTCTTGTTTAGATTTGAGGCGGAGCTGGAACACACTAAGCAGCACGTCGCTTAACCACCACCTCACGGCCATCGCTTCCAAATGGCGGATTCCCCCGAAATGGGTGTGAGGGTTGACCTGCACTGGATCAAAATGTTTGCCGGTAGCGGAGCTTCTTTTGATAACTTTTGGAGCACGAACTGTGCGTCAGAAGTCACACCATAATGGGACCAGCACCGCTTGACCCAACAATTTCCCTTTGGGTGGAAAATTTCCGAGAACGATGAAGGAGATGGTTGATGTCCTTGTCGGCGGAGGCAGTTCGATAACATTCGTGGGATGAATGCCATCAGTTTTGGGTTTTTTTTTCTCAGAGATGCCAGCAGCTATGTGATTGAACGATGGAATGTGCGCTTTTCCCCTAATCTGCCTCGTTCGCGGGGTGTAGAGAAGCTCTTGGAAGCAGCAAAGTTGCCACTTGTGTAGAGGATAGCGCAATTGTGAACAATTAGGGTCGGCAGCCACAGTTGTGTTGACGTTTTGTCAAACAATTAGGTTGTGCGAGGGGAGCGTTGGCGTTAATGGAAGGCAGTCAAGCAAAAGAGCGGTTATTTGCATGCATGCGTCGCGATTTCGAGGAACAAAGTCGCGCTTAAGCTATTACATTCATGCGCTGCTTACAATGATTTTCGTCGTCATTGATCGAGTAGGCGTCAATAATGCAATTGTTACCCAGGAATACCTAAGAAAGTAATATCTGCTTTAGAGGAAATTACTGCATAAAAGCGGTTGTTAGGGCGACTATGTAATAACTTCATTTGTGAGTGTACAAGCGCTTGAGTGCAATATTTTATTGAATATTGCTTTGTTCTACTCAC